AAATTTAACACATCTATTTTACTATTTTAGCGACTTACACAATGACGAGTTACACTCGACTCCTATTTAAACTATTCAACTGAACAATCATTCCTACCTACTATTTTTCCACGTTTTACGTATCAATGGTATTCGAATGTTGGCTAATCGTATATTATAAAATTGCCTACTATTTTAGATTGTAGGTATTCAATTGAAGTATTGGTAAGCAGAAATATAATTTTTTTATGAAAACTATTTTGAAAACATTAATTAATAAATAYTAATGGTGTACTTTGGCACCTTTATTTTTTTCGCGTCTTATTAAATTGTCATAAAATGTATAAATCTCGCATTTGCTAGAGCATACGTGTTGAAATATATTATTAAAACCATAATGCGTACCTTAGAATTTATAAATTATTATAATATATGGAATTAACGTACCTATATATTTATTATTAATATAGTTGTAGTTACCTAGGTATAAGTATCTATTATTGACATGTCATATGAACGTCAAAAGCTATTTCCTATATCTAAATTTCAACATTTTTATTCATTACAAGTACAAGATTATAATAAATATTTAAAAACAATCTATACAATTGTGTATGATTTCCTATATTATGACYAAACAAWTATTTTTTTAATAACATATTAACACTTGTTATACCTACTTCTATATTTATCATAATTTTAAATTTCTATAGGTATATGTATAATTTAGAAAAATGATCTGGGATTTTTGTTTGAAAGTAAAAACAGGCTTTTTTAAATTGGACTTTATTATGTATTCCGAAGCGCCATCTTGTGTAGTAAGTATACATTAATACATTTCATTTGATTGTTCGGTTTCGGAATAAATTAAATGCAACAAAATAAATAATATTAAGTTTCTCTTCATACTAATTGTACAGAAATTAGTAATTTATTCTGCTTTGATAATGTTTACTAGAACTGGTTAGATACATAAATACAGTGTTGATAATTAGGTACATCAGAAATATGTTTTTCCCATAGAMATTTGAATTTTGAGTATGTTAAATTTTTAATTATAGGTAGTCCGAAATTCGAATCAGTTTTGATGAAAAGGGTTGTGGAAAYTAGTATTGGCTATAGTTAAAACTTAAAAGCACTGATTAAAAATGGAGTGAAGGGGAATTGAGTCCCCTTTATTATTTAAGGAAGAATTATACGAATTCTTTAAATTACCTAAGTCTTCAAAGTCCGGAGGGGACGCTAATCRAGAAATWTACCAACGAGATTTTTAATATAAATTAGATTTTATTTGGATTATAAAAATATATAAAAATTAAAACACCTTTCAAATTTAAATATATATTTTTTTAAGATTTCAGGTTATAAAATGCAATTTAATTTTATGATCAGGCATAATGTGTATAGGTAGGATCATTTTTCTTAGGAGGACATTTGATTTTACTTCATAATAATATAAACTTTTTGTGAAAAATTTGGTATTTGAAAAAAAATAATATTAGGTATAGACCTTGAGGGATTCTTAAAACACTTTGTGTAGATGGAAATGACTTAGGTAAGAACTCAGGAACGCTCCTATATTTTTGGAGACTATAGTAGTTCTTCTTCAACATTTTCCCCTCTTAAATCTCTGCTTAAAAGTATTTTTGATGGATTTCGAGTTTTAACTGTAACATATTATTAGTTTATGAGCTTAGCTAGTAATCTAGGAGAGGTGGGTGATGACGCCATGTTCTATACCATGAATATGATATTTTCGGGTCGCTGTCTTTCCATCAGATGATATTCAGATCGTGTCGTATATACTATATATACTACGGGTGGTCAGTGTTGTGAGTATTGAGTAATTTCCATAATAATTCCGAACTCAACATTATAGTAATATCATTAATATATCCATTTGACCATAGGTAGTCAATATTATGAGAGTATTAATATATACCTAATAAATTTAATAATAACATTATTACTATGTGTTTAAATAAAATGCCTATGTATATTGTATATGAAATAAATTAAAACAAG